ACCTTATGAAGTGAACCAGCTTTGCCAAGACTGTCAGACCAATAACCACATAAAAACTGACAAAACACATTTTACAAACACAGAGAGAAAGAAAAAAAGGGAACAGTAAACCAGTCTATCAATCATATTTAAGATTTCTTAAATATTCAAAAGATTTTAAAAAGTAATGTTATATAGGGATGTATATACAACAATATATATATATATATATATATGTGTGTGTGTATATATGTACATACAGTTGAAGTCATAAATAAACCCCCGGTTTATTGTTTAAATAATATTTGACTAGATATTTTTTAAGACACTTCTACACAGCCTAAAGTGATATTTAAAGGCTTAACTAGGTTAATTAGGGTAACTAGGCAGGTTAGGGTAATTAGGCAAGTTATTGTGTAACGATGGTTTGTTCTGTAGACTATTAAAAAAATTTGCTTAAAGAGGCTAATAAGTTTGTCATTAAAATGGTGTTTAAAAATTAAAAACTGCTTTTATTCTAGCCGAAATAAAACAAATAAGACTTTCTCCAGAAGAAAAAATATTATCAGACATACTTGCTCTGTTAAACATCATTTGGGAAATATTTAAATAAGAGGAAAAATTCAAAGAGGGGCTAATAATTCTGACTTTAACCTAATATATATATATATATATATATATATATATATATATATATATATATATATATATATATATATATATATATATATATATATATATATATATATATATATATTTATACAATCAAATATGTTTATAATCAAATATGTTTATATGTGATCGTTTTTCACTCTTTTGTAGAACTTCTGTGCAAATGCCCAGAATGTAGAATGTAGAAATATAAAATAAATATGATTAAAATATACATCACTTTTTAAAACTAATTATTGCAGGCCCAACATAAAATATTGATAAATAAAATGAAAAATGTAAACACTGTACTTTCAGGCTTGCAGCTTTTTTGCTCAACCAAATTATGAAAAAATGTATCATGGTAAACAATGTATTTTGCAAAAAATAAAGTAAAATAAAGTATGAAATAAAGCCTAAAATGAAGCCATAGAAACCATATATATAGATGGATGGATGGATGGATGGATAGATCGGTCATCATTGCTTATGATGGAGTTTTAAGATTATAATCTAGTCTAAAAATAGATAACTGAATAGATATACAAGATATACTGTAGATGTAAAACAAATAAATAGAATAAATAAAGCTGTTACCATAGCGACATCCGCCTGAAAGATCTGCTTGATGAACTTGTTTTTGGAGGAGTGAACGAGCTGAATGATGTCACCATGCAGAGTGTCTCGATTCTTCTCCAGAAAACCTGCACACACATTCACATTAAATCTTTACATCAACATACTAATACTATACTAATACATTTTAAAATATCTATCTATCTATCTATCTATCTATCTATCTATCTATCTATCTATCTATCTATCTATCTATCTATCTATCTATCTATCTATCTATCTATCTATCTATCTATCTATCTATCTATCTATCTATCTATCTATCTATCTATCTGTGTGTCTATCTATCTGTGTGTCTATCTATCTATCTATCTATCTATCTATCTATCTATCTATCTATCTATCTATCTATCTATCTATCTATCTATCTATCTATCTATCTATCTATCTATCTGTGTGTCTGTCTTTCTATCTATCTATCTATCTATCTATCTATCTATCTATCTATCTATCTATCTATCTATCTATCTATCTATCTATCTATCTATCTATCTATCTATCTATCTATCTATCTATCTATCTATCTATCTATCTATCTATCTGTCTGTCAGTCTGTCTGTCTGTCTGTCTGTCTGTCTGTCTCTCTATCTGTCTGTCTGTCTGTCTCGCTATCTGTCTATCGATCTATCTGTCTTACTGTTTATCTGTTCATCTCTCTATCTGTCTGTCTATCGATCTATCTGTCTGTCTCTCTATCTATCTGTCAGTCTGTCTGTCTGTCTATCTGTCTCGCTATCTGTCTGTACACCTACCTACCTATCTGTCTGTCTGTCTGTCTATCTATCCGTCCTGTTGTCTTTCCATCTGCCTGTCTATCTATCTATCAAAAAATATTAAATGTATTTGAATACAGTGCACTGCATGAAGTACACCGACCTCTGGTCTCGTAGTACACCACTCCAGCAAAGTGCTGGATGCCGAACTGTGTTTCATAGGTGTTTTTGGGTGGGATGTAGTTTGTGTTGAGCTTGTGTTGAGAGTTGAGTTTGTTCAGCATGGTGGTGTCTGTGCCCTAAAACAAGCCAAGGCAAGTTTATTAATCTAGCACATTTCTTTTACATTTACAAAAACAAGCACATTTACATAAAGACATCATAATATAATCACATATGCATTAAAGAGGACCTATTATGCTCCATTTGAAAAGATGTAAATTAAGTTTCTGCTGTCCCTGAGTGTGTATGCGAAGCTTCAGCTTAAATAATGTTTTATAGCTCTTTGCAAGTGCTCCTTTAAAGCTTTGAACCAAATTGTACCCTTTTGGTGATTCAAAACAGCTGCTTCTAACTCAGGGCTGTCTATGCTAATGAGGAAGAGATAGTCACTAGTGGACGGGGCTCTCTCTCTCACGCATGCACGCACGCACGCACCCACCCACCCACCCACGCACGCACGCACGCACACACACACACACACACACACACACACACACACACACACACACACACACACACACACACACACACACACACACACACACACACACGTATAATAGGAAGAATAAATGGTTCACATGGAGGCAGATAATAAACATACAGAACAATCGAGTGTTTCTCTCACCTTTGGAAACTTGCTCTCCTCGTCGATGAGCGAGATGATGTTCATGGGCTTTATGGCGATCATGTCTAAAGCGTCCTGGTTGTCTGTGAACTCGATGTGCTGCCAGTTGATGTTCTCCAGGTTATATTCCTCCTGCTCCAGCTTGAACACATGACGGACGAAAAACTGCTGCAGGTTTTCATTGGCAAAGTTAATGCACAGCTGCTCAAAGCTGGACGAGAGACAGAAAAAATAAATAAATAAATCACAAATACATCAAACAGACAGAATCTAAATCTAAACACATAAGATGGGTGTCAGGTTTTAACAAATTATTTATTTATTATTATTATTTATATTTATATATTAATTAATATTAATATTATTATTATGCAAAAAAATTACAGTGATTAATATAAATTATTATTTACTGATTGATGTTACTGACTTTATTCATTTTCGACCAAAGTTGAAATAGATATGCAGTATATGAAATATATGCAGTGCTCAACACTGAACCCCATTTTGAAAATAAATATTTCTATCTATTTCTCAGTGAATATAGGCAATGTATTTTGGTGCATTTAAAAACGACAGATTTATTATACAGATATATTTATTAAAATAATATTTTAGTCACAGAATATCTTTAGAAATAGAAGAATAATACATTTAAATTCATGCAAAATATTATTTTAGTCACAGAACATCTTTAGAATTAGAAAGATAATACATTGAAATTTATGCAAAATATTGAAAAAAATACAACCTACAAAATTTCAGCTACAATTTTTAATTTGCATTTTTTATTTTTTTTGCATCTCTTGATTTTTCCTCTTTTTTAAATTTGCATTTAACATTATTCTATAACATATAAATTTGGCTGTAATAGTTTTTGGATTGTTATCGTTAGTTATGGTGTTAGATAAGCTCCAGATTTGGTTTCGGTACTAAATAATCTAATGTATATGCGCAAATATAATATTGTATAGCTTCCTATTAAAAATATGAATTTAAAAGATAGATTTGTGAGGGGTGTACTTATATATGCTGATCACTGTATTTGAGATTTTATGTAATTAATTTATGTAATAAATTTACTTTTTACATATTAAAAGCTATTAGTTCTTATTTTCAATGTATTTTATTAAATATATTACATAATAAACTATATTACTATAATACAATTTTATACTAGCAAATGTATTAAAGAACGAAAGTTATTTCAATATTAATATATAATCCAGCATAGTAATTATTAAACATATTTGCATGTAAATTGAATAAAATGTATATGCATTTGGTTGATTAAATTTCATTTATTGAAAATAAAAATGTATTAAATATACAATTTCTTACTTATTATTTTAAATGAGGAACTTTTTAAATAATTCAAGTAAAATGTATATGTATTATAAAATTATTGTTCCACTTAATATTAAATTAATATAAAAACAATTAATAAATTATTTAATATTTCTTAATGTATTAAGCTGTATTCAATTCAATTAAAAATTGCAGTAATTATTAATGCATAAATAACAAATAAATTAATACAAAAAGTCAAGTCAACTCAGCAGGAATTGAATTTGGATTAAAAAGAAGAGAAGAACAAAGCATTTTGGCTTTAAATCATCCACAGTTAGACCAGCAAATTGTAAAAAGTAAGTAAACAGGCCCTATTATCACCAATTGTGATATGCACAACATAGGCATAAGTGAATATTTGTTCATGTTAAAGTATCTGCATGCAATGTTTTCTACCTGTTAACCATGAAGTTCTCGAAGCCGAAGATATCTAATAGGCCGATGGATCTTCGCACTGCTTTCAGCTCCAGAGATGGAGGTTTATAAATGGCTGCGTTGATTTTCTCAACAATCCACACAAACAAACGGCCATAAATGCCCTGTGTAACACAAACCGCTGGTTAGACACTGTTAACATTGTGCAGTAGGTTAGTTAGTTAGTTGTATCAGTGAGATGGTTTTACCTTAACAAAAGCGTCTCTCACGTCCAATGCCTGTTCAATGCTGAGCGGAGTAGACACCGTCTCTCCACGGGTTATTATAGTTCGGCTGGTCAAACAGTTCATCAGATCCTTCAAGTCCACCTGTTAAAACACAGCATCATTATTTAGTTCCTTATTTATCAGGGGTCACCACAGCAGAATTAACTGCCAACTATTCCAGCATATGTTTTATGCAGCAGATGCTCTTCCAGCTGCAACCAAGTACTGGGAAACATCCAGACACACTCACATTTACACACACACTTAAACACCAAGGCCTATTTAGTTTATTCAATTCACCTATAGTGCATGTGTTTGGACTGTGGGTGAAACCGGAGCACCCGGAGGAAACCCACGCCAACATGGGGAGAACATGCAAACTCCACACAGAAATGCCAACTGACCCAGCCAGAACTCGAACCTGCGACTTTCTTGCTGTGAAGCGACAGTGCTAACCAGTGAGCCACGGTGCCGCCCAACACAGCAACATCACTTTTTAATCACTATTATTATTTATGACTAATTTTTTAAGATGATTATTTTATTAATATTTCTATTAATCTATTATGAGTAATCTATCTTAAAAAAAAAAACATTGTTTTGGTTTATATAAATATATAAATTCCTGCTCCACCTCAAGTAGAGCACCTACTTGGGCCTACTTACACACCTGTTGGACTCTACAAGCTTACACACACACACATACACAGCTACAGATAGACATTCATTCATTTTCTTGTCGGCTTAGTCGCTTTATTAATCTGGGGTCGCCACAGCGGAATGAACCGCCAACTTATCCAGCAAGAAACATTCACACACACACACTCATACACTTCTGACAATTTAGCTTACCCAATTCACCTGTACCGCATGTCTTTGGACTGTGGGTGAAACCGGAGCACCCGGAGGAAACACACGCAAAGGCAGGGAGAACATGCAAACTCCACACAGAAACGCCAACTGAGCTGAGGTTCGAACCAGCGACCTTTTTGCTGTGAGGCGCCATCACTACCTACTACGCCACTGCCTCGCCTACAGATAGACAATCACTACCTATCCCTTCATCCCACGCCTTCGTGTGCTTTCACCCACTAGAGGGGGTAGGCGGGTCTGCGACTAGCGCCCCATGGCTGCCCGCCCTCATCGGACTATATCCACACCCCCTTTTCCCATCCCCTGTGGCAATGTTGTGTCTTCTATTTGTGTTTATGTGCTAATTGCTGGGCTTTTTTTTTCTCCCTGGTCTCACATTGCCCTAATTCAAGAGCAAGGTGAGGGTGTTTTTTCGCCTCCCTCTTCTGAAATGTATCTTACTTCCTTTTCTAAATGCTACCTCCTGTGACCTGTCTTCCCCTGAAAATTGTGATGTTTGTTTAAAAATCTTTAATCTTTAATTTTTTTACATCCATCTTCTATTTTCTGTAATTAATATTCTATTTTTGTCCTTTAGATATTGAATCTGACTATCCAACAATGAAAACATGTATATCACACACACATACATACATGATATTTAATTTTTCTCACAGTTATTTTATTTTTCTCTTGCGAATTTGTTTTAGATAGTAAATATTAAACAGATACGTAAATGTATAATTATATTGATAATTTATCAAAAACATAGAACTTAAGGAATAATTTTTTGTGTGTGGGAAAATTCACAAATTTCTGTTTTAAATACTAATTATTAAATGCTTATTTTCATTTCGGTCACAAGATGGCGCTCAAAACTCTTATTAGTTTTGCCCAAACATGAACTAGCATGCTACATATTGATAATAACAGTGAAATACTCACCAACTAAATTATATATATATATATATATATATATATATATATATATATATATATATATATATATATATATATATATATATATATTCTTTGGCTTTAATTTCATGCTAATATGCATGTAAATCAGCTTCAGACCATCCAAACTCTGTGGTTTATCATCTTACCTCTAGTAAAACAGCAGCGGTGGTGAGAGCTGAGCAGCGCACCACCTCACAGGCGTCCAGGTTATCATATGTGCGGGCTGAGGAGACCACAAATACACTGTTTAAGTTAAGGCATATTCATTCATTTAGTCTAAATACAGTTTAAGCTCTAAAGCAGCACAAAAAAAGTGTCTTATTTCCAGTGGCGCCCCCAGAAAATGTTCTTTGGGGTGGCCAGAAGAGGTCACACCAAATCTTGAGGTGGCACACAATAAATTGTGAATTCAGTGCAATGTTATATATTTCTACAGAAATTAGGGGAAAAAAATAAATAAATAGAAAAAATATACATACATACATATATGTATACATATCTACATATATATATATATAAAAGTCAGTAAGAAATCTCGAAATTAAAACAAGCAGTAGTTTCCAGATAAAAACTGAACATCTGTTTTAATATAGTGAATAAACTGACCCTCGTAGCGGAGGTTGCCCATGTGCAGAATAGCAGCCAGCAGCTTGGAGATCTCCCAGTTCTCCTTATCTGTGAACATGAGCACCTTCATGGCTGATCTGATGTTAGAGTATTCCTTCTGATCATCTCGACCGTCACAAACAGTGCAGTTCCCCTGAGTTTACACAGAGAAGACATTAGAGACCTGCAGGACACATCTGATCATATCTGGACTATCATCGGGGAGATCATTTAACCCAGGCTCACTGGGAATATGCACCTCAGCCGACATTTCAAGAGTTCCCACTTAGATATGCTTGGCATTCATAGCAGGTTTGGCATGCTGTCCCGGGAGAGAACCCTGAGCTCGGAGATATTTGAGCCTAGGGCTCCCGCCCGGTCTAGAAGCATATCAGGGGATCCGAGGTCAGGTAGGTCTCAATCGCTCCCCTTTTAGAAGGGGAGAAAAAGGAGGAGAAAGGGGAGATTCTTCCAAAACGAAGCAATAAGGAGAAAGTTATCAATTTTTATTAAGCTAGGATCATTCTGATTGGATTATTACCGATTACGGATGATTGGCCAGCAGTAGACAATCATATCACGTGCTTCTCTCGAAATTAGTTTGTGAAACTTCACTGATGCAAATGTAAAGTTTGCTGCTTTATGATAGTTTTGCTGTATGTTTCAGATGACAAATCCACTAGAGGGCGCCGTTTACATATTTGTAAAGCTGCAATAGGTTAATTAGTGTACGTTTTGATGTACGTTTCAGATGACAAATCCACTAAAAGGTGCTGTCTACATTTTTGTGAATCTCAAATATGTTATTGAGGATACAGTTATGCATGTTTTACATGACAAATCCACTAGAGGGCGCCACTGACATATTTGTGAAGATGCAATAGGTTACTTAGGGTAAGTTTTGTTGGACATTTCAGATGACAAATCCACTAGTGGGTGCTGTTTATATTTTTCCAAATGTGAAGTACGTTACTTAGGATAAGTTTTGTTGGACATTTCCGATGACAAATCGACTAGAGGGCTCAGTCAACATTTTTCCAAATATGAAGTAGGTTACTCAGTGTACATTTTGATGTACGTTTCAGATGACAAATCTACTAAAAGGTGCTGTCTACATTTTTGTGAATCTCAAATATGTTATTTAGGGTACAGTTTTTGCATGTTTCAGATTACAAATTCACTAGAGGGACTTATCTACATATCTGTGAATCTGAAATACGTTACCTAAGATATGTTTTGTTTGTTTCAGATACACGTCCTTCTTTTAAACATCTAAGTTCAGATCACCTATAGGGAACGACTTACCCAAACCCTTTCCTAAACCCAACCGATAGTGTTTTCAAAAGCAAAAATAAAAAAAAGTTTAACTGCGACAACGTAGTTTTGCCTAAATTTTACATTGATTTCATCTCAATGTGGAAGTGTGCTTCACCTGACTCAAACCTGAGCGCTCTGCAGCACAAGCACAGCAACACCGTGGAAAATACTGAGCAAACTGACCACGCATATAGGAGTATGAAGATAGATATGTGCGGCAAACGTATTCGCTTTCTAATCATAGACACTGTTACATTGTTATGTGGTATTTAGTTGTGCTGTGCAAAGAACTGCACTAAAATAATACGTTATTCATCAATAACATGTGTCTGTAAACATCATCAGTGTGAAAAAAACAAAAGTTATTTGCGTCATACTGCCCCCTAGTGTTCATTTTAAAGTACAAACTGCAGTCAGTCTGCGTTGAAGTACATTTTTGTGTAGGCTGAAGCACATATATTCAACGTGCGCCAGTGTTGATCATCACTCACTATAGTGAGGTAAGTGTAGTCTGTGGCTTTACTCAAACCCAGCTGCTTCTTCTGGTCTGGAGTCATTCCCTTCAGCATACAGTAGAAAATGTGGTAGTTTCTCTCATCACGGGCCTGCATGGGTGCACAAAAACAGCATTTCACACATTTTTGTTTTGTTTTGCAGTAGAAATGTAATGTAGGCTATAAAAAACCTACCAGGTCATTTTAAGTTTTTATTTTAAAGTAAACTTTTTTTTTGTTATATGGGTCAAATATGAAATATCCCATGTTGGTGTCTGCATACATTTTATTTTAAAAACATTTTATAAAGCAAATTGTTAGCAAATTAAGAGCTTTGATGTTCCAAATAACAAAAAAGGTAAAATAATGTTGCATCAGAGGTTTTTTAATGTACAAATGATAAACATATTCATTCATTCATTCATTCATTCATTCATTCATTTTCTTGTTGGCTTAGTCCCTTTATTAATCCGTGGTCGCCACAGTAGAATGAACCGCCAACTTATCCAGCAAGTTTTTACGCAGCGGATGCCCTTCCAGCCGCAACCCATCTCTGGGAAACATCCACACACATTTACACACACACTCATACACTACAGACAATTTAGCCTGCCCAATTCACCTGTACCGCATGTCATGGGACTGTGGGGGAAAGCAGAGCACCCGGAGGAAACCCAGGCAAGCGCAGGGAGAACATGCAAACTCCACACAGAAACGTCAATTGAGCCAAGGCTCGAATCAGCGACCTTCTTGCTGTGAGGCGACAGCACTACCTACTGCGTCACTGCTTCGCCCAATAAACATATTTATTGGGGCTTTTTACATCTGGCCGTGTCATGTGTTTTCTCTGATCTGCTAGCTATCACATTTTAATTTTAATATATTTTTGATGTCCATTTTTATTTTTGACCCATTTAGATTTTTAAAAAGAAATGTATTTATTTAATCTTCAATACCACATTACATTGATCAAAAGTGACAGTAAGCTAAAAAATGTAACTTTACATTTTAAAATACATTAAAATTGCAAACATCTGATATTAGATGTTATAATTTTTTTTTAAATCATCAAATAAATAAATTTATCAAAAAGAATTCTCTGATCTGGGTGACATGGTGGCTCAGTGGTTAGCACTGTCGACTCACAGCAGGAAGGTTGCTTGTTCAAATCCCTCTTGGCTCATTTAGTGTTTCTGTGTGAACTTTGCATGTTCTCCCTGTGTTGGTGTGAGTGAGTGTGTATGGGTGTTTCCCAGTACTGAGTTGCAGCTGGAAGGGCATCCGCTGGATAAGTTGGCAGTTCTTTTTGCTGTGGCGACCCCTGATAAATAAAGGGACTAAGCCAAAATTTGAATGAATGATTGAAATGTTCTGCTCTCTGGATTTACTGATTATAAAATCCGATATCAAGACAAATGAATTAGACTTTTTCAGAAAATTACAATTGGTCAAAATAACAAAAGTTTTCACTTGCCGTGATTAAAAATCTGTATTATTTCACCAAATATTGATCTCTTAAAATGAATATAAACATCAACAAACATATTAAAATCTGTTTAAAATTCAATATTATAAAAATATTGAATCTAAAAAAAATTTTACTGTATGCAAAAGAAAAATCTAAAATCTTGGTAAAAAAAATCATTAGCAGTTTACAGAATGAAACAAAAAATACTTTTTACTCAGTCATAACTTTATCCATAGCAAATCCAAATGATATTAGGTGATCGCTTAATGTTTACATGTCTCAAAAACATAAAAAATCATACTAGCCCCAAGCTTTTCTCACTGTTTTGTCCTATTCGAAACACAGAATTGAGACTAAAAAGCGTGTTTGCACCTGTCGACACACTCTGGATTTCTCCAGAAGGTACTGTTCGATCTTTGCTCCCTCTATGGCTCCTCTTTTGTTGAAGTGGATGTCGATGTACTTCCCAAAGCGGCTTGAGTTGTCGTTTCGGATGGTTTTAGCATTTCCAAAGGCTGTCGGATAAAGAGAAGTTCCAGCATTATGGATGTGACACTGGCAGTAAAACTTGAAACATCAAATCAATGAGAATGTACATGTTAACATTATATTGAAACATCTGTTAATATTTTCCAAAACAACAAACCACAGACTTCAGGCATCAGAAAAATATCTGTAAATGAGTTTTATACTTTAAATGAGGGAAATAAACATGTTATGGATCATAAAATTATGCACATTTACAGTATACAACATATTTTGTAAATATTTTGTGAATTAAACTGCACAACCAAAAAGAAATAATAATAATCAAAAGAATAAGCATTGGCTCTATATAGAACAAATGGTATTTCTTTTATTTTACATTTATGAATAAACAAAGCTCTGTTATGGTTGTGACCGATGTGAAATTGGCAGTTTTGTGGCTTTGTCAATGTTTTCAAACTATTTTATTCGATTTAGCAGAGATTTTTGAGCATTTTTAACCAGGGGGCAAATTGAAGTGGAGTTTAATACCCATAATTAATGCTTGACCCCCTTGAATGATGTCAAAACAAGATGTATGGAGGGTCAGCCCTTTAAATAGTGAGAAACAATTTGCTCTGATCTGTATTTTAAACATTAACATCTAAAACTAAAATAATAGATATTAAAAATATTCATTTGACCACCCCTGTAACGGTTCATACCATTGTGAATGCATAATTGTGTCATGAAAAAAATTATTTAACTGCCTAAAACCAGCAGATCTAGAGCACCGATAGACGACGTGAATGTTCACGAGACACATTTCTTGTAAAATAGGTATTTGTATCTACATATAACCTCAACTGAACGTAAAAATAGATTCATGAAGTAGTTTGACACACAGAAATCTCTGAAACGGCAAATCAGAATGTAGGTCAGAATACACTAAATATCCCTCAAAACACTGAAAGTTGAAACATTGAAAATTAATTAAATGTGATTTAAAATAATTTGATTTAAAGGTCACAAACTAACAATACTGAAAAAGCTAATTCCCCTAATTGTCAATGTGTAATTCGCACCCTGTTTTTACAATACTTTATTATACAAGCCTACACAAACAACTTATAAATGGTTTCACTGTTTTGGTGAAAACCTTATATTTTGTATGGCAAGTTTGACATTTGTATGTAATAGCTGTAAAGCAGAATGTAATCTTGTGTGTCTCTTTCACCTTCCAGGATGGGATTTGCCTCCAGCACCTGCTGCTCGATCCAGGAGTGCTGCCCGCTGATGGCTGCCAGAAACTGCAGGATCAGTTTGGTGCTTTCTGTCTTTCCAGCACCAGATTCACCACTGATGGGAAACGAACAGGAAAACATGCAACAACCACATCCATACACATCCATTTTATTACAATTATTATTTTCTATCTAATATTTTATATAGTTTTATTTCAATTAATTAAAATAATTTATTTGTTTTCTTTTTTGGGACAGCCATAATGAATACATCCATACT